GACGCCGCGCCGACCGACTCAAAACCAGTGAGGTCAGCCGCAGCGGCAGAGGCGACAGAGGGCAGCAGGGGGGAAGGACCACACCCCTCAAAGATGGGGGTGCGAGGGTCACCCCGAGAGGCCCCTACAGCGACAATACTCTTCTCAGCCGCTAGCAGGGACTCCTCAAGGAGATCGACAGTGAGAGTGGTGGGACAGACAGAGAGAAACTGGTCCCTAACGGCACGAAGGGACTCAGGGAGACGGGTGACGAGAAAGTAGAGAGTGATGTACATGGGAGGAGGGTTCGCAGCGCGGAACTCAGCAGGAAGGGCAGCGCGGTAGCGGGTGTCACTAGCACGCAGGTGGGTAACGAGGTCAGCAACAGTGGGAAAGGAGGCGAGGTCAGGGAAGAGAAACGGTAGCATGAGGCGGCTAAGGGTAGCGGAGGAAGGGGAGGAGTAGCGTGCAACTACAGCGTCGTACAAGGCCTGAGCGGTCTTGCACTGACTAAAGTGGGCACGCTCAGAGGAAGGGAGGTGGCGACGCACAGCAAGACGTGCAGCAGCATCGCGGGTCGCCCACTTGGAGCGAACGGCAGAGTCAGCATCAGCAGGTGGGGCAGGGACAGCGCCAGAGACAAAGTCAAAGAGAGAGACCTCATCTATCGCATCACATAGTAAGTACAGCTGCAGGTCTTCAATCCAGACGGCAAAGTCAATGGCCCTCCCCTCAGCGTCAAAAGTAAGGACATTGGGGGTGGCCATGGCAGCAGCTGAAAGTCTCACCGGGCTGGGAGAGTCGGGTAGTGCAGCAGCAGAGGAACACAGCTCAGGAACAGCGGCACGGCTCGGGCGGCTCGGGTTGCTGGGGCGGCGCGGGCGGCTCGGGCGGCTCGGGCGGCTCGGGCGGCTCGGGCGGCTCGGGAGGCTGGGGCGGCTCGGGCGGCTCGCGCGGCTCGGGCGGCACGGGCGGCTCGGGCGGCTCGAGTTGCTGGGGCGGCGCGGGCGGCTCGGGCGGCTCGGGCTGCTGGGCTGTACGGGCGGCTCGTGTGGCGCTGGTGTCGCGACGGGCGGCTCACTGGCGGCTCGCGGGCGGCTGCACAGGCGGCTCAGGGACGGCGGCGCGGGCGGCTCAGGGAGCTCACGGGCGGCTGCGACGGGCGGCTCGCGGGCGTCGGGCGCTAGGGCGTTGGGGCGACGGCGGGCGGCGCTCAGGCGTTCGGGCGGGCGGCCGTAAGGGTGAAAGGGCGGGCGGCGCTCGGGCGCTAGGGCGGGCGGCCGGCCGTCAGGGCGCTCGGGCGAGTGGCGCACGGGCGCTAGGGCGGGCGGCCGTCAGGGCGCTAGGGCGAGTGGCGCTCGGGCGCTAGGGCGGGCGGCCGTCAGGGCTCTAGGGCGGTTGGCGCTCGGGCGCTAGGGCGGACGGCCGTCAGGGCGCTAGGGCGGGCGGTCGTCAGGGCGCTAGGGCGGGCGGCCGTCAGGGCACTAGGGCGGGCGGCCGTAAGAGGAGGGAGCAGCGGGAGCGCGACGGTAGAGGCGACACGCAGGGTCGCTAAAAAAAAAAGAACGCGCGCCTCGGGGCGCGCTTCGGTGGGCCCTAGGAACAGTCCCTAGGAGGGGACCTGCTCTGATTCCATGAGAAGAATTGAACGAGAATGAATGAACTATGAATGAAGTGAGTACAAATAGGAAACCCTAATTGGGTTGTACCCCCTATGGGATACCCCACTATAGCCTACACAACAGTATAAGCTATAATGTTCTGACACAGCTGGGGTGCCACCTTGGCCAAGTTCCCAAGTACATCATGCGAGGCAGGCGAGTGCATGCCACAAGGGCTTCTCCCCACATCTAGTACGCGGCGAGAGCTCGAGGGAGTGCTCTGGGCACTGCGGACGTTCGCAACCCAAATCGTGGGCGCTCACGTCCTCGTCCGGGTGGACAACCAGGCAGTCATGTTTATCTTGCGCAAGGGGGGATCCCGTCAGGCGGATCTTACGTCGACATGCCAAGCGATCATCCAGTTCTGCCTCGGCAACACAACACGCCTCGCGATCGAATGGATTCCGAGGGAGCTCAACGCCCATGCGGATGACCTATCCAAGATGCAAGATTTTGACGACTACTCCCTACATGCACCTTGGTTTCGCCTCTTGGAACGACGCTAGGGGCCTCACACAATTGATCTCTTTGCTAACGTTCGGAACAATCACGTTCAGCGATTCTGCTCCAAGATACCGCACCCCGACGCATTCGCCGTCGACGCATTTTCCATCTCGTGGAAAGGCGAGCGATGCTTTGCCTTCCCGCCTCCACACTTAATTCCCGCTACACTCCGCCACGCGGAACTGACGCAGACAGAACTCACGCTCGTCGTTCCCCAGTGGACTGGAGCGTCATGGTGGCCGCTTCTTCAACCGTCCACTCAATCGTGGGCTCCAGGAGTAGTCGAGCACCTTTCCCTTGCCCAAGGCAGTCAATGCCTTCGGGCAGGTTCACACACAGCTGCATTCTCTGGTCTCGGATTGCCTCATAGCCCAATCATTGCTTTGCGTGTAAACTATGCAGTCTAATAACAATTTCTCAATGTGTCATTTCAGGACTTTTGGCCAAACTAAAGCAACAATTGCTGCACGTAATTAGCCACGTTCGCGCACCATCTACAATCGAGACGTACCAACCTTATTGGCAGAGATTTCGCACCTTCTGTACCCAAGTTAAGCTCGAGTTCCTCCCGGCAACCGACGTGACGCTAGCGCTGTATCTCATCCATGGGCTCAACAACAAAGCAACTCTCTCCGCGATCAACCTCACGTGTTCGGCAGTAGCCTTTGCCCACTGCATGACAGGCGAAACCTCCCCTACCGCCGGCCCACTCACCCTGCAAGTGCGGGAGTTCGCCAAGAGACATGGTCCCCGCCCTACAAGAACCAAAGAGCCCATATCTCTCCATCAAGTGCACGACATGGCTCGTCCCTTCCTCGAATCATCAATTCCTGCGGAATACCAGAAAGGATTGATTCCTCTTCTCATGTTTTCGGCATTCTTGCGCTACTCCGACCTCGTCTCGCTCCAATGGAATGACGTACAGTTCGAGGAGAAGGCAATGTGGCTGCTCATTCCGCACTCCAAGACGGACCAGGAGGGGAGGGGAGTCTGGATCCCCGTGGCGGCAATTCCAGGCCCATACTGCCCGGTGAGGTGCACGCACGCATTCATACACATCGCAGGCCTCACAAAGGTGCCCCATGGACCGCTGATAAGGGTTTTCCCAAAGAACTCACAAGCCACACCGAACGACAAATCGCCATCCTACGTTACGATCAGAAACTGGTGCCTCGCAGCCGGCAGGCAAGCTGGACTGGATGTCGCGCACATCGGAACCCACTCATTCCGCAAAGGCGCAGCCACTGCAGCGGCGAGCCTCGGAGTTCCTGACCGGCTCTTCAAACGCATGGGCCGATGGCGCAGCGACAGCGCGAAGGAGATGTACGTTACAATCGCGCAGAATCAGCTCATCTCCCTCTCTACGCAATTGCATGATCCTTCGACGGCTCCCTCGCCCGCTATGCATCAGCTATCCATCGAACGCCACCGGCAGCCCCGACTGCACTTGCCTCAGAAGACCCATATGAAATGATAACGCTGCCTTTGCCAGTCAGCCTAAGTACACTTTCACAATATGATAATTTTTGAAAGTGTAATGAAATGTAACACTTTCTAAAATTTTGTATTGTGAAAAGGGGTACGTGGCCAACCCAGCAAAGGTTGCGCCGAAGCGCTACTCACCCTCTTTTGCCTACAAAAGAGGGACGTGGGGACATTCGTCCCCACCCACGTTTTCATTTTCAAAATTGTAGTTCTAATTTCCCACCCGCCCACCCATTTGTGTATGCTGTTATGTAGACATATATAAGACGAGAACGATGTACTACAACCCATATGAAATGATAACGCTGCCTTTGCCAGTCAGCCTAAGTACACTTTCACAATGTCATTATATAAGCCCGGGCGCATATAAAAATCCTCAGATATAAGCGCACCCCCTAAAAAACAGTGTTTTTTTATACCCCCAGGGGCGCTTCTATCCGGGGGCTGACGGTAATTGCGGTCAAATCCACATGGCACAGGTAAGAATCGCTTCAGTGTTGGTTTCGTTACAGTGTTGTGGCATCAGTGTCCTAGGGGAAAAAAGTATGAAATTTCAGTGTGGCCTAACAAAAAAGTCTGAAATTTCAGTCCCTCAAAAATCTCAACACTGACTTTTCAGGGTATGTAAAAAAACGACTGCCAAAATCAGGAACTTCAGGGTTTTTTTCCTGATATCTGAGGCCCGTGGGGTAGCCAACATGGGGTACAACCCCTTTATGTTTTGTACTTGTACCAACTCTCTCGATAGCTTACATCATTCCTGCTTGTTAATTCTTAACACATTCTACACTGCACTCCCCTAAAAAAGTACGTTTTGCGTATTGTATGTGCGACCTCTCCGATTATTCGACATCCGAGGTTTGACCGTATCTTCATTGCATGTGCCACCAACCAAGTGTTTAAAAAACATACACAAAATTCATACAATTGAATACAATATGTATCATAGAAAAAGATGAGGCTCTACTGAATGTTTTGAATGAATATAATTGTTGATCAGATTACTGTTTTTCATGGATAACCACGGATCAGATTGACAGCAGTTGTGATACTGGAGGAGAATGCAACAGCACTGTACCACGTGTGGGTCTGTGTGTAAACACGCGTGCATGCCTGTGCGAGCGCGCACGCATTTGTGCGTGTGCGTGTGAGTGAGTGTGTGCGTGTGTGTGTGTGTGCGTGTGTGTGTGTGTGTGTGTGCGTGCGTGTGTGTGTGTGCGTGCGTGTGTGTACGTGCACATGTATGTGTGTGAGTGTGTGAATGTGTATGATTGTACCCGTGTGTGTGCATGCTTGTGTGAATGCGCCCCTCATGCATATCTCAGGAGGATTGCACAACACACAGCAAAGCACAGACAAGCACAGGGGGGTTCACTCCCTCATCTCCACCAGGGCGAGGGCTGCCAGTGGTGGAACAGTCAGCATAGCCGTGTCTGCTTGGAACCATGGGCCTGCTGCTGCTGCTTGTGATGGCACCATGCCATGCTGCTCCTAAATGGGGCGCAGAGGGGTACAGGGAAGGAGCAGATTGACCATGGAATGGGAAGGCGAGCATTAAGAAAAGGCTGGAACAGAAAACAGGAGAGGTGAGAGGGAAGGCACGGGAGAGAATTGGCGAGTTATGGGAGGGGGGTAGGAGGAAGAGGGAGGCACTGACCTGCAGTGGGTGCGGAACGAGATTGCGTGAGAGCAGGGACGGCAGGTGCAGGCGGGCAAGCTGGGGCTGCATGCTCACCACCAGCACCAGCATTCGGAACCTGCCATGGATGGAGTGAGAGGCGCATTTCAAATTCAGCAATTGGATTAAAAAATCAACTGAAGGTGGTGGGAACTGACTGTAGTGTGAGGACAGACAAACACGTTTCTTGCGGGAGGTGGTGGTGGGAAATCAATCTAGATCTCCACATGCTGCTCATCCATCTGCCCATGCCATGCCATGCCATGCCACGTGATGCATGCATCAAATCAGATGAGAGGCAGATGATGATCTTGTGAAGCAGAGCGACCCACCTGCGACACGGCTGAAAGCACATCTTAGAGCCTTAGACACGGCTGAAAGCACATCTTAGAGCCTTAGACACGGCTGAAAGCACATCTTAGAGCCTTAGACACGGCTGAAAGCACATCTTAGAGCCTTAGACACGGCTGAAAGCACATCTTAGAGCCTTAGACACGGCTGAAAGCACATCTTAGAGCCTTAGACACGGCTGAAAGCACATCTTAGAGCCTTAGACACGGCTGAAAGCACATCTTAGAGCCTTAGACACGGCTGAAAGCACATCTTAGAGCCTTAGACACGGCTGAAAGCACATCTTAGAGCCTTAGACACGGCTGAAAGCACATCTTAGAGCCTTAGACACGGCTGAAAGCACATCTTAGAGCCTTAGACACGGCTGAAAGCACATCTTAGAGCCTTAGACACGGCTGAAAGCACATCTTAGAGCCTTAGACACGGCTGAAAGCACATCTTAGAGCCTTAGACACGGCTGAAAGCACATCTTAGAGCCTTAGACACGGCTGAAAGCACATCTTAGAGCCTTAGACACGGCTGAAAGCACATCTTAGAGCCTTAGACACGGCTGAAAGCACATCTTAGAGCCTTAGACACGGCTGAAAGCACATCTTAGAGCCTTAGACTGCTCTGGCCGGCCAGAGTATCTCTGCTCTGTGCCTTGTTGTGTCTCACCTTGGCTTCCCTCTGATTTGAGTTGACTCACATGGTGGTCATGACTGGTGAGCGCGGGGCAGCTCACCTGGAGTCCAGCTGGGCCATGCCTGAGCCATCGTCGCCATCAGTCACACTCATTACTATCACCCCTGGCAGCGCTGTGGGGCCCACATTGAGGAATCGCACTCGCTCCTGTGGAAGGGTGGGCAAGGGCGAGGGCATGGGAAGGCAGGGGAGAAGTGGAAGGGTGACGGCACAGGGGAGCAAGGCAAGAGGCAACACAGGCTAAACGCAAGGGAGGAGATGCGGAGCAGAAACGATTGGCCTAAAGACATGTCATGTGGCTGTCATTCAGCATGGCTGAGCAGAGCCGAGGGTGCATGCTCTGCCCTGAGATGGTCTTGTCATCAAACCTGGGAGCGGATCACCTCACCCCGTCTGTGAGGAAACCAAAACACCCCAATGAATGCCGGCGCTGTCCGAGCATTAACTTTAACAAGGGCTAGAAATCACCGACCTCTGGTCACCTGACTGTCCCTGTCTCCCTGCGCACCTGAACGAGCTTCAAAGAGGAAACCTGACAGTTGGTTCTGTCACCTGACCTACCAGGCCCTCTCCCCCAGAACTCTTCCCCCCCCCCCAGCGCACCTGAACGAGCTCCAGAGAGGGCAGGCGGAAGAGTGGCGAGGAGTAGCGCACAGCCAGCAGCATGCGCAGGTAGCGTGACGTGGCACCTATGTCTGCTGATGTGGGACGCAGCGATTGGTTGGCCAGGAGTGGACGCATCCTGAGAGGAGGTGTGTGGGGATGTGAATGCACAGGAGAGGAGGTCAAATGCAGGAAGAAGAGGAGCACACGGAAAACCCTGAGCACTCAAACATTCAAGACCCAAGTATTCCTCCCTCCCCGGTTGTATACGAAGGAGGGTGAGAAGCTTGTTCCCTATGTGTGGCAGAGGGGACAGAAGGAAGGTGGAATGGAACAGCGCGGTGCAGAGCGGTGCAATGCGGTAGCACATGCTGCCTCAGAAAGGCAGAAAAGGGGTTGGTTTCAGAGCAAAGCAAATAGCACTCGCACTGCCACAAGTGATGGCCGCCTGCCTTCCTTCCCTGCTATCCAAGACCCCTCCTTCTCCACAATCCTCCACCCTCTTCCTCCTGCCCCCCCCTCCCGTCTCTCCCCCTCTCCCCCCCCCCCTCACATGTCCCATTTGTCGCCGTTCTTCTCATGTGGGGGCAGCCCCACGCCAAAGTTGCTGCTGCCGCCTGACCAGTCCAGCCTGCCATGCACGCACACACACGGGAGCACGTCGGCACAGGCCCACGGAAGGGAAGTGGGAGGGGCAGTGGGAGGGGCAGGCAGAAATAAGGGCGGTGGGAGGGGCAGGTAGGAAGAGGGGCGGTGGGAGGGGTGGAAGGACGATGAGGGACTGGGGTGGATTGGAGAGGAGAGCAGGTCATGGAGCATAGAGTGGAGAGGATAGCAGGTCATGGAGCATAGAGTGGAGAGGAGAGCAGGTCATGGAGCATAGAGTGGAGAGGAGAGCAGGTCATGGAGCATAGAGTGGAGAGGAGAGCAGGTCATGGAGCATAGAGTGGAGAGGAGAGCAGGTCATGGAGCATAGAGTGGAGAGGAGAGCAGGTCATGGAGCATAGAGTGGAGGGTAGATAGGAGTGCCGGTGCGTCCATGTATCTCATAATGCCCCTGTGACCGATTGATCCACTCTGCTCTGACCACTTGCAGCATGCACTTCCCATGACCGGTTTAATGGCAGGTGAGCGGCTGGGTGGGTGACTTTGAGAGCAGTAGGTGGTCCCTCGCGTGGCAGCATTTGTTGCCCGCAGCAGGCCTCAATGCAAGAAGACAGGCGGGGCAGCACGAATCCACACCAACCACCGTAACAGAAAGTGCGGAGATGAAATGGCACAGCAACGATGTTCACTCAGACTCACCGGTTGAACCAGTCCCCTCAGTGGTAGGAGTCCCTGTCGAGCAACTTGGAGCGCAGCACTGGCAATTGCACCAGCCTTCCCTCAGCACAGAAATGGCACAACAACAGTGTTCAGTTGACACTCACCCAGCGAGGTCTCAGTGACTCGGTCTGCTCTGCACTCCCCACTCACCGGTTGAACCAGTCCCCTGAGTTGTAGGAGTCCCTGTCGAGCGACTTGGAGCGCAGCAGGTCGTCGCCCGCATGGATGAATGGCACGCCCTGCCCCCATGCCACCACCGCCATGCCCACTCGATTCATTGCCACGCGCTGCTGGGGGGTTGCTGCTGCTGCTGCCTGGTGGGTGGGGATGGGGGAGGGCGTGGATGGGCGGGTGCAGAGGAGAAGAAACAACGAAACGCAAAGGAACAGAAGCGCAGAAGGGAAGGGGAGGATGCAAGGCTGCATTGAGTGGAGGGGATATGTACAGAGGTGGTGGAAGAGCAGAGAAGCAGAGGCGCACTCCTCACAAGAAGGTGCTGACACGAGATGGTGCTGACACGAGATGGTGCTGACACGAGATGGTGCTGACACGAGATGGTGCTGACACGAGATGGTGCTGACACGAGATGGTGCTGACACGAGATGGTGCTGACACGAGATGGTGCTGACACGAGATGGTGCTGACACGAGATGGTGCTGACACGAGATGGTGCTGACACGAGATGGTGCTGACACGAGATGGTGCTGACACGAGATGGTGCTGACACGAGATGGTGCTGACACGAGATGGTGCTGACACGAGATGGTGCTGACACGAGATGGTGCTGACACGAGATGGTGCTGACACGAGATGGTGCTGACACGAGATGGTGCTGACACGAGATGGTGCTGACACGAGATGGTGCTGACACGAGATGGTGCTGACACGAGATGGTGCTGACACGAGATGGTGCTGACACGAGATGGTGCTGACACGAGATGGTGCTGACACGAGATGGTGCTGACACGAGATGGTGCTGACACGAGATGGTGCTGACACGAGATGGTGCTGACACGAAATGGTGCTGACACGAGATGGTGCTGACACGAGATGGTGCTGACACGAAATGGTGCTGACACGAAATGGTGCTGACACGAGATGGTGCTGACACGAGATGGTGCTGACACGAGATGGTGCTGACACGAGATGGTGCTGACACGAAATGGTGCTGACACGAGATGGTGCTGACACGAGATGGTGCTGACACGAGATGGTGCTGACACGAGATGGTGCTGACACGAGATGGTGCTGACACGAGATGGTGCTGACACGAGATGGTGCTGACACGAGATGGTGCTGACACGAAATGGTGCTGACACGAGATGGTGCTGACACGAGATGGTGCTGACACGAAATGGTGCTGACACGAAATGGTGCTGACACGAGATGGTGCTGACACGAGATGGTGCTGACACGAGATGGTGCTGACACGAGATGGTGCTGACACGAGATGGTGCTGACACGAAATGGTGCTGACACGAGATGGTGCTGACACGAGATGGTGCTGACACGAAATGGTGCTGACACGAAATGGTGCTGACACGAGATGGTGCTGACACGAGATGGTGCTGACACGAGATGGTGCTGACACGAGATGGTGCTGACACGAGATGGTGCTGACACGAATGGTGCTGACACGAAATGGTGCTGACACGAAATGGTGCTGACACGAGATGGTGCTGACACGAAATGGTGCTGACACGAAATGGTGCTGACACGAAATGGTGCTGACACGAAATGGTGCTGACACGAGATGGTGCTGACACGAAATGGTGCTGACATGAAATGGTGCTGACACGAAATGGTGCTGACACGAGATGGTGCTGACACGAGATGGTGCTGACACGAGATGGTGCTGACACGAGATGGTGCTGACACGAGATGGTGCTGACACGAAATGGTGCTGACACGAAATGGTGCTGACACGAGATGGTGCTGACACGAAATGGTGCTGACACGAAATGGTGCTGACACGAAATGGTGCTGACACGAAATGGTGCTGACACGAGATGGTGCTGACACGAAATGGTGCTGACATGAAATGGTGGCATGAGAAGCAGGCAGAGAAGGTGGTACCTTGATGGTGATGATGTCAAAGAGAGTCTCGTTGTCATGTGCTGATATGTACGTCACCTGTACATGCACATGCCGTGGAAAAGGGAATGAAGAGCATGCATGAGACAGAGCAAAGCAGGGCACAAAGCTTGCAAAAACGAATATCTATCTCAATTGGTTCTTGGCACAGTGTCGGGTATGTGTGGGATACACAGGCAGAACACATGCTTGGAACGGTGGGCAGGAAGGAGAAGGCCGTCTTCAGCATGGCGTGCGCGTCACTCGATTCATGTCAGCTCATGTCAGCTTTACCGATTCATGTCAGCTTTACCGATTCATGCGGGGTGGCGGCATACGCCACAGGCGACCCTCCAAACGTGTACAGCTGCCCTCCCGTCACCTGTGCGGGCAGCAGCCGTGAGGAGCAGGGGAGGAGAGGAAAGGGGACGTGAGGCGCGGAGGAAAGGGGACGTGAGGCACGGAGGAAGAATGTGGATGTGGACAGTGGAGGCATAGGAGCGGCAAGCTGGACAGAGAGCTTGCCTCACCTCACCCTCATGGACCACATCTCCTGCCCTGCCCTGCCCTGCCCTGCCCTGCCCTGCCCTGCCCTGCCCTGCCCTGCCCTGCCCAAACATCCTACCACGTGAAACAATGTGACGTCTCACCACATATCACCTTCTTTCACAGCTTGCCTCACACGCATGGACCAGGTGCCCTGCACTGCCCAAACATCCTTCCTCTCATAACCAACCCACCTGCTGGCCGGTGGCATGAGAGGCGAAGGCAAAGTCTCTGAGGTTGCCCGCCATGCCCGCCTGGATCACATCCACACTCTCCGCCAGTCGCCGCCGCCACCACGCTACTGATGACCCCCCCTCGCCCCCGCTCTCCTCCCCACTGCTGCTGCCGCTGCTGCTGCCACTGCTGCTGGAGCTGTATTCCCGCTGCCGCTCGCTCTCCTCGTACTCGTTGGGCTGAGATGGGGGGATGGGATGGGATGAGATGGGATGGGATGGGATGGGATGGGATGGGATGGGATGGGATGGGATGGGATGGGATGGGATGGGATGGGATGGGGTGGCATGGGATGGGATGGGATGGGATGGGATGGGATGGGATGGGATGGGATAGCATGGGATGGGATGGGATGGGATGGGATGGGATGGGATGGCATGGGCCAAGTTGGGCGGCTGTGGGAAGGCACGAGGGTGAAGGCACAAGGGTGAAGGCACGAGGGTGAAGGCATATGTGTGCGGCCGTTGCATGGGCACACAGCACACTACAGAATGAGCAGAGGTGTGAAGACAAGGAGACGAGGGGGTGACTTCTCCACAACAGCATCGAAAAACGATGAGAGCGAGAGATGTCTACTTCGAAAAGAAATCGACATGGAGGAGACATGGGGGATATAGAACACGGGGGAAATGGGGCCACATGGGGCACACACGAGCAGCAGGAGGCCCGAGGCGAAGCCCTGCTGCTGTGGATTGCCGAAGGGCGTCCCCCCGACCACTGCATCGCGGAAGCGATCGTTGAAACTGCAGCAGGGGGAGAGGCCAGAGGGGCGAGGAAAGCAGAGGGGCGTTGGGGAATGTGGGACGGGGGATGGGAAAGAAAAAGAACTCAGGCGAGAGGAAGAATCGCTGTGAGGAGCCAAGGCCAGCATTCAGGGGGAGATGACGAAGAATCGCTTTGTGCACAGTCGCTGTGGAAGGAGAAGAGGGGATGCCTAGCTCTTGCTACCGCTGTACAGCCATCCACTGCCAACACGAGGGCCTCACCTGCCATCCACTGCCAACACGAGGGCCTCACCTGCCATCCACTGCCAACACGAGGGCCTCACCTGCCATCCACTGCCAACACGAGGGCCTCACCTGCCGATGCCCGTGCCGTGCAGGTTGGCCTGCGCTCCGTTCACCCCGCGGCCATTATTCGCCACCTCGCCAAAATCCCACCCCTCGCCATACCTGGTGTGGGGTGTGCGTTCACAGCATTACAGGGCGAGCAGGGGCGTGGCGAAAGGATAACAAAACAGAATGGAGCCCAAGACGCAGAGCTGGCAAGACGTGACAGCGGCGGTGTGTGAAATGCTAGCGAGCATGGTGTGAAATGCTAGCGGGCATGGTGTGAGCGTGAATGCTATAATGCGGTCTAGTGGGCAGAGGTATGAGCAGTTGAAACTGTTGATTCTCACAAGTAAGAGGATACCATTGAGACACATCTCAGCAGTTGGTTCATTCTCACAGGTAGATGGCCTTGCCGTCCACCCCATGCTCACAGGTAGATGGCCTTGCCGTCCACCCCATGCTCCTCGACTGTGAGTGCGTCCAGTGCCGAGCGGATGCGCAGCTGAGGGCGAGGCAAGAAGAAGAGGCAGGGAGACGAGGCAGGGAGTCGAGGCAGGGAGACGAGGCAAGGAGAAGACAAGTAAAGACATAATGGGTGTGAAGAGAGTGAGAATGATTTAGCGGTGCATAAATCGCTCAACATGTTGTACAGAATTCACAGCAGCACTGACCATGGTATGCTTCATGAGGTGGCCCATGAGGTCAAACCGGAACCCATCCACCTGCCATGCAATGGCGCCAGGGATCAGAGCCAACGGATAAGTGTTGAAAGAAGAGGTGTTGGCGCCCTGACATGGCTGACACAAGCTCGAGTATTCTCAAGACATAGCTGTGCTGTAAGCGTAACAGTGTTCCGGACATGACCTGTTTCTGGTTACATTCAGTTAGGTTGCACCACAAGTACCAAGAAATCACAATCTATCTAAAAAAGGAATGAAGAAATGTTTCAGGCATGCCTCACCTTGTACTGCGTGGCCCACATGACCACATCATCCACTATGAGGCGCTCCACCATGGCATGCTCGCTCGCCGTGTTGTTGCAGCACGCACTGCTCTCCACCCGCCCCTCCATGTCCCTCCGCACGTAGTACCCGGGTACCACCTGGTGATCAGCGAGAGAGGGAGGAGCGGCGCAGAGAGGGAGTGTAAAGATAAGCTATGGGCTGGGAAGAAAGCAGCAGAGAGCTATCAGTCACACGTTATCTCTCACTCAGACACACGTTATCTCTCACTCAGACACACCTTATGGAGCACAGAAAAGGGGATGTGCTGCTGGCTGTGAGGGCAACGAGACTGTGAGAACAGCGAGACTGTGAGAACAGCGAGGCTGTGAGAACAGCGAGACTGTGAGAACAGCGAGACTGTGAGAACAGCGAGACTGTGAGAACAGCGAGACATTTATTGAGACACACCTTATCGAGGACGGAGAAGGGGCTGTGAGGGCCGCTGGCGTAGAGGTGGTTGTAGACCACATCGAGCACCACGCGCAGCCCCATGCGGTTCACTGCCTGCCCTCGCGCCCGCTCGCCATGGGTGAGAATTGGCATGTAGCAGGGGGCAAAGAGAGGAGGGAAAAATCAGAAGCTTGTTCTTTGTGCAACTTTACTCACTCTTTAATGATCATTATGTGCCAGCTTTGAGTTTTCTTACGCAAGGTATGTGATAGATGCTACAGTTACTGGCAACGGATAACGGATGTGCATGTTGCATGTTATGTGGAGTGAAATCCTTGATTCCCCCAGGAGACGAAAAAGGTGGTCAAATCCTCCGCACAGAAAATAGGCACCATACTCACCACCAGCCCTCCATACGCACCTGCACCACACCCACCTGCACCACACCCACCTGCACCACACCCACCTGCACCACACCCACCTGCACCATGGAACGGAATTCGAGGGTGCGAGCAGTGCCGTCAGCGTGAGTGGCATAGCTGCCATCCGGCACACCCCAGTGCACCGGGTCGTATCTGGGGGAGGGGGGCGTGGGTGGGGAGAAGGGCAGGCAGGAAGAGGGGCAGGCACACAGTGAGGCAGGCACGTATTCATGTGAGAGCACAGACGGACACTCCCTCTCACCCACTCTCCCTTGTGAACCTTGCACACATCCTTCACACTGCCATGCCAGCTTGCTGGGCTGCAGCAGGAAACAGCAAACAGGAAACAGCAAACAGGAAACAGCATAGCAACACATCCTCGCAACCAGGCACGCAAAAACCTCGACGGCAACCACTCACCCCCAGTTGTAAGCGTCCACATCCTTCACGGCTGCTACAGCCGCCTGCTGGCGGTCCGAGTCAGGCGGGTACTGCCTGAGGGAGGGCTCATCTGCAGAGATGGAAGGGGGGGTTGGTGAGGTGGGCAGGCGGGAGGATGGGATGTGATTCAGGTGCGCACTGCCTGAGGGAGGGCTCATCTGCAGTGATGGAGGGAGGGGGGGCAGTCAAGAGGATGGCGTGTGAGTGCGGGGAGTGCTTGGTGGAAATGATCAGCCATGTGGCTGATGCCAGTTGGCTCGCAGCTCTCCCACTCAATCACTGCTCTCCCACTCAATCACTGCTCTCCCACTCAATCATTGCTCTCCCACTCAATCACTGCTCTCCCACTCAATCACTGCTCTCCCACTCAATCACTGCTCTCCCACTCAATCACTGCTCTCCCAATCCCTCAAGCAATACGACAGCATGCTCCCACGGCCACTCACCCCTGCCCCACCCACCCACCCCCAGCCTGCCAGTTGCTGCTAATCTCATTCAGAAAGTTTGATGAAGGCCCGGGCAGGCAGGTGGGCCATGGAGAGCAATGCGCAGGCAGGAGGGCATGGGAGCGGAGCACAGCAGGACACACAGAGAGAGAGCACCGAGAGGCACCGAGAGGCACTGACCGACAGCCTGCCAGGCGGTTTTGTCCTCATTGACGGAGCCAAAGTCGTAGGCTGGCAGCAGGTGCAGGTGCGTGAGCCCGCTGGCCGCTAGCTGTGTCAGATGCTGTGCTCCCTGTGACTGCTGTTGGGGGGCGTGATGGTGTCGAGAGAGAGGGTGAGGGTGGAGTGAGCGAGGAGAGATGGAGGAGAGATGGAGGAGAGATGGAGGAGAGATGGAGGAGAGATGGAGGAGAGATGGAGGAGAGATGGAGGAGAGATGGAGGAGAGATGGAGGAGAGATGGAGGAGAGATGGAGGAGAGATGGAGGAGAGATGGAGAAGAGATGGAGGAGAGATGGAGGAGAGATGAAGAGACGAGGCATTGGATGGAAGATGCAGGGGTGGGGGAGGGGTGGGGAAGAGGCGCGGGACAGTGGTGGGGAAGACGCAGTATGTGGGAAGGCAAGGAGAATGGGTGAACAGCATGCGGACAGAGACAGGAGCGATGGGCGACAGGTAAGCAGAGGGGCTCATGTAAAGAGCCGGTGGTTGGCAGGGCGTGGACGGGAGTGGGGCCAGTGTGGTGAGGCGCTGGGGAAAAGTGGGGCAGGCGTGGAGTGGCAGGCAGGGGTGCACTCACGGGGTGAGTGAAGGCGAGGTACGTTCCTCGGTGGGGCTCTGGCACTGAGGAGTCCGATGCACTGATGGATGCATTGGGTGGTGCGGTGAGCGAGCACGGGAGAAAAAGGGTGAGGGAGGGAGGGAATGAGAGAAATTGTTAGGAAGCAAGGCGGGTAGAAAGAAAGAGAGGCGCATGAGTTGTTGTATGTTACTGTATAGAGCAGAGGAGAGCATGAGGTAGCAGCAGCAGCAGGGTGCAAGCAGGGCCAACCGGTGCACTTGGACTTGGACTTGGGCAGGTGAGGATTGTAGAGAAGGAGGAGCATAATGGCACAGGTGCAAAAGCGTGCTCCACAAACAGCTTCACAGGCACATGTGTGAAGAACGAATGGTGAGGTGAAGAACGAATGGTGAGCAAGTTTGGAGAGAGAGTGCATGTGGAACGAGGGCAGCGAGAGTGAAGCGCACCTGAAGTCACGGATGTGAAGCGCACCTGAAGTCACGGATGTGAAGCGCACCTGAAGTCACGGATGTGAAGCTCGTAGATGGACACGTCTGAAAACGACTGCAGAGGCGGCTTCCTCTGATGCAACGTGGACCAATCAGGCGGCGCCAACGAGGCATCACTCAGGTCAACCACCAATGAGCGCTCTCCATTGGCTGAGAGGCTGATTGGGCACGGTAGAGGGAAAGGCGACAGGGCAAAGAGCAAGGGTAGCCCATGAGTCGAGGTTCTAGCAACCAACCATCCAGGGCGGGACGTGGAGAGAGCAGAGCAGAGCGTGCGATGGTGTTGAAGGCAATTGCACGAGTGGGTCATGCTGATGCTGCTATCCGAGTTGGGCTCTGTTCTTTCCTGAGTCAATTGGCATGAGTGAGTCGTTCACTGAGCATCAGGCAATGGCAGAGGCAAGGCACATAGAACAGAGATCAAAAGTTGACGCCATATTTGAAAACAAAAGAGTACAGGAGCGGACAAGAAGGTAAGTACCCGCGGGAGTAAGGGTCGGTGGTGACACATGTCTCGATTCTATTGGTGGCGGGATGGAAGACCCGGATCTCATACTGATAGTACATGCCCTGCCATGCCATGGGGCCCTGTGCACTCCACTGCCCCTCGCTGCCCCGCTCCATGGGCTGGCGAGACACGGGGGGCGATGCATGTGGCTGGTCGAACAGCAGCAGCGTCACCTCCTGTGAGCAGAGCGGTGACAAGGTTAACAGGGGAGGCGGGCAGGAGAGGAGAGCAGGTGAGGACGTGTATTAGGGGTTTCATTCTCAAGAACCACCTGCGAGGTTTATGAAGGCGGTGTGAAGAGCTCGTCCTCAGCATGGGGTTGGTGGAACAGACGCAGTGGCAGGGCAGCTGCTAGATAGGCAGAGTGGTGGGTGGATGCGTGTGGGTGGTCCACGAGTGGCAGAGCAAGCGAAGCGAAGGGAGGGAGACGGAGGAGAGCGAAGCAAATGAGTGGGGGAATTGAGGAGAGGAGGTGAGGAGAGGAGAGGGGGTGGGTGGGTAGAGGTGGTGAGGAGAGCAGGGAAGAAACGTGTGAACTACATGACTCATGGGTGGTTTGTGCTGACCAGCCCACTCTAGGTTGGTTCCTAGCCATGGTTCCTGTTACTGTGGTTGCTTGTAAGTGGTGTGACTAGGTGGGGAAGGAAAGTAGCACCATGAATGAAGAACGAATGAAGAATGAACGACTCCAGCATGTGCTTGCACATAGTGCATGGTACATCCACAACGAGGTCTGTCAGGTAAGGCGTGGATGCCCACACACATAAATGCTCCCGGTGCCACAGAGTCACCTCATCCCACCCCCCGTGCGTGCTGAGTGACTCGCAAGCTGAATCAACAATCATCACACCTGAGCCGTGGGCGCCCACACGTGAATGCTCACGGTGCCACTGCCACTGGACCACCAGCCCCCCCCCTGCTTCTCCACGTGCGCTCCCAGCGGCCCCTCGTACCCACACAGCGCGTCCAAGGCGCCTGCCACCTGCAGACACGTGGCGTCCAGGGGCGTGCCTGATGCTGTGGGGTGAGGGGAGAGGCGTGCGGGGGAATAGGGCGTAGAGAGAAGGGTAGAGAGCAGAGAGGGACGATGAGACGAGTGCAGCAAGCATTGGAGTGCGCCTCACCTGCCATCAGCGAGCAAACATGACAGTGCGCCTCACCTGCCTGCCACCTGCAGCGTGCAGGCATGTGGCGTTGATGGGTGTGCTGGACGCTGGTAGAGGGTGGGAGGGGCAAGTGATTGAGAGGTTGCAATGCAAGGAGAGGGATGAGCGAGCACAGAGCAGTATCACTCCTGGCAACGGCACTGCAGCAGCACATCTTGTGCTCCTGCCAGCTGCTGCTGCAGTGATGAGGCATGAGTATGCGTGCTGATATGGGTGCACTGTAGGGAGAGAGTGGTGCAGAGGGATGAAGCAATGCGATGCACGCACAGGGGGGGCATGCAAGCAATACAGCAGGGCAGGCGATCAAGCATGGTGAGAGCCATGAACAGCAGACTTCCCAGGCGACCGATGCATACTCTCCTTGCAACCCACGTTGAAGCAACTGCCCCTTCAAACATGCCCCCCCTTGCTCAGCCCAACAGCCTGCTTTCATGCAGGGACCCTTCCTCTCCCCCGTCCGCCCTCACAGCCCCATGCCACCCTTCCTCCTCTCTCCCCCCATCCATCCACCCCATACATCAACCATCACCTCTCCACCCCTAGCCCCTCGCCCTTCCCCACAGACACCCACCAGAGGAGCAGGCGAGGGCGGTCTGTGAGGCAAGCAGGCGGTGCAGGTGGGGGAGGGGGGGGGTGGGGAGGCGTAGGCAGGTGAAGGACGCTAGGTGGGGGAACTTGGTGCGCACCTGCATGGGGATGGGGAAGGGGAAGCAGGGAGGGGGAGCGGAGGAGGGAGAAGGTGAGGGAGGGGGTTGAAGGACAGGTGCGGGCAGATGAACGACGATAGGTGGGGGAACTTGGTGCGCACCTGCATGGGGCAGGGGGGGAAGCATGGGAGCGGGGAGGGAGGGAGGGGTGGGGTTGGGTAAGAGGCGGAAGAGGGAGGGCTGAGAGATTGATAGTGCCAGGGTGTGTGAGGAGTGGAGACGAAGGGAGACAGTGTTGAAAAGAGTGGGGTGGTAAGAAGTTGCACGAGATGCTTAAAAATCTGAATAGAACTTGTCACGGGTCATGGGTCATGGGTCACGGGTCGTTACACCATGCACCACTGCGCCATGGCGTGCCTGAATGCACCATGCCATGCGCTGATTGCCCCATGCCATAATTGCACCATGCCATAATTGCACCATGCCATAATTGCACCATGCCATAATTGCACCATGCCATAATTGCACCATGCCATAATTGCACCATGCCATAATCACACCATGCCATAATTGCACCATGCCATAATTGCACCATGCCATAATTGCACCATGCCATAATTGCACCATGCCATAATTGCACCACGCCATAATCGCACCATGCCATAATCGCACCATGCCATAATCGCACCATGCCATAATTGCACCATGCCATAATTGCACCATGCCATGCGCCATCCCGCCATACGGGGGGAGTGCGATGCTTACAGCAGGTGAGAGGCCGGCAGCGTCCAGCGTGAGGGGAATGACGGAGTCCGCTCCTGGTGTGTCATTGGTGATGGCCGGCCGGCCGGCACGCAGGCATGCAGGCGTGGAGGCATGCAGGCAGGCATGATGAAGGGAGGGAGAGAGGATTGGTGGCAGGGAGGTGACGGTGGAATGGTGATGAGTTCATCACAAAGCAATGATACATGCTGGTAGCACGATGGCAGATGATGGTAATGTGTTGATATATGATGGTAAAGCGATTGATGCTAAATGACGGCACGGCACCTTGCACGCCGTCCTCTGTGAGGGCGAGTGAGGCGGATTCGCTGGCATGCAGGGCGAAGAGAATCTGCTCGCCATAGTCACTCTCGTTATAGTCCCAGTCCACTGCAATCTCGTCTGCCGACACCCAGTGCGCCTTGAATAGATCCAAACTGCCCTGCTTGTACACACATTGATGCCGCACCGCACCGCACACCACACCACACAAGGCACACGCTCAACCCAGCATGGCGCACCACACGGGGAATGCAAGGCACAGAGGCGCAGGCAGGGAATGTGTGGGTGAGCATGGCACGCCTTGGCAGGCGAGTGTGCAAGGCTGCTTGCTTGGCCAGGCGGGCAGAAGTTAGGGCGGCAACTACAGCATGAGTGAAGTAAGCAAGGATGAAAAGACACCGGCACGGTAGGAGCAGCATGAGAAGGGAGCAGTGTGTGCCGCACAAATCCACCCACGAAACACCTGAGGCGAGGGACAGGTTGGGTTGGGTGGGAGAGACGCCGGTGGGGGCAGGAGAGAGGCGGGTGGAGGTACCTTGGGGAGGTGGTCGAGGTTGGGGGCGTGCAGGAAGGCGCGCTGGCAGTCAGAGATGAGCCACACTGTGGGGCCGCGGTGGGTGATGGTGGAGGATGGCGGTGCGGGCAGCGCGGCCATGTCTATGGTCCACGTGCAGTCCTGGCGGGGGGGGGGGGGGAGGATGAGGGAGGAAGGGCGGCAGAGCGGGAGAGAAGAAGAGAATGAACGTGAGTGAGAAAATGGGGTTGAGGAATGGAAGAGCAAGAAGAGATGTGTGCGGCAGTGAAGGGACAACGGGTTTGGGAACACCCGGGACTGTCCTTGTCATGGCATGCAGGGTAGGGTTACTGAGATGAGATGGTAACGAGTGATGCACAACTCACAGGTGTGAGGGGAAAGGGATGTGGTGCTTGGAGCGTGACACACGAGGCATGCAGAAGGAGAGAGACAGGGCATGGGCCGTGAGAGGAGCAGGTATGTAGCATGGGAGCCAGGGAGGCGAGAGACAGAGCAGCGCAGTGCAGCGCAGTGCAATGCGGTGAGGCACACACCTTCCAGTCCCCTCGGTGTGGCAGCACGTTCACTGTCCGCGCCTGTGGCTGCAGCTGCATGCGCCACTCCACCCACTTCATCCCGCCACCACCCGCAGCAACAACACCGCCAGTGGCAGCAGCAGGCGAGGAGTGCAGAGGGTGCTGCCAGTCGGTCTCTGTCTCCACGTCGCCCCACACGTGCAGCCCCCATCCGTTGTAGTCGCCATCGCCCCTGCCAGTGCCGGCACATGGAGCAGCGCATGGCAGCATGGGAAGGTGCATGAGCACCAGCAACACCACGAGTGGCAGTGGCAAGCGAGGAGGGCAAGAGGTGCTGGCAGGCAGAGGGTCTCTGTCTCCACATCGCCCCACACACGTGCAGCCCCCACCCCGTGTAGTCACCGTCGCCCCTGCCAGTGCCGGCACACACGGCGGCGCATGGTGACACGGGAGGAAGCGTGCATGAGGCCCTGAAAGCATTCATTTGCATGCCATGCCAGCCACACTGATTCGGCATGCGTACACTGATTCGGCATGCGTACACTGATTCGGCATGCGTACACTGATTCGGCATGCGTACACTGATTCGGCATGCGTACACTGATTCGGCATGCGTACACTGATTCGGCATGCGTACACTGATTCGGCATGCGTACACTGATTCGGCATGCGTACACTGACTTGCATTCGATGCTTCGCGTCACACCAGCCATAGCACGGGTATGAACCACGGATGGAGCCATAGCACGGGTATGAACCACGGATGGAGCCATAGCACGGTATGACCACGGATGGAGCCATAGCAGGTATGAACCACGGATGGAGCCATAGCACGGGTATGAACCACGGATGGAGCCATAGCACGGGTATGAACCACGGATGGAGCCATAGCACGGGTATGAACCACGGATGGAGCCATAGCACGGGTATGAACCACGGATGGAGCCATAGCACGGGTATGAAACCACGGATGGAGCCATAGCACGGGTATGAACCACGGATGGAGCTGCCTCCGCAGTGGTCCACTCCCAGGGTATGTCATGTGGCCCTGCACCTGTCCACACGCCATGGCATGGCACGAGCACGACCTACACGACCCATCTCAGGGCACGGACGGCCAGGATCACTCGCATACATGGAATGGAATGTGGGCGTGCAGCAGCAGCCCAGCACACACAACGAGCTGCCTCTTGATTTGACTCGAACGAGATGACCGGCACGGTCGTGGCATTGCGTGGCATTGCGTGGCATCTGTGTGCAGAACAGCAGGACAGGAGATGCGACTTCCTCGCAGCACTGGCATGTGCGGTGGAGACATAGAGAGAGTGGGGGGTGTGTGGCGACAGGTGGGTGGGTGGGCACGTGCCACGTGGCATGGCGTGTGCGTGTCGTCATAGTCTGCAGGCGTGCACAGCTATAGCAGATGATTACACAGCGCCTGACATACTGGATATTCCTCACCCCTTTCCCTCCTCCTGCGAGCACTTTCTTTACCCTTTCCCGCTCCCTCCCCATCCCATCCCACCGTTGTCCCCCTTCGCACCTATGATACACGACGCGCAGAATGTTTTCCCCCCCTGCGTGCCCGACACCTGCTCCTGCCTCCGCCCCTCCCCCCTCTGTTTCCGCCCCAATTCCGTCCCCCGCGGAACAGCGCGGAGTAAGCAGGGAAGCGCGCCGACTGGCGGACGCAGAGCGTGGACTAAGCAAGGCGCGCGCGCGCGGAAGGCCGGAGGTGGCGCACGCGGGGAGCATGGCGCGATGCCCTTCTCGACCTGGCTGCGATCCGCCAGAGCGCGAGGAGACGGCGGTCGCGACGACGGAGGGGACGAGGGAGCGAGAGCACAGCGCGAAGGCCATGACGAGTCACAGAGCCTGTTGGCCGATCGCCGTACGAATCTCGACACGAATCTAAGGCTTCACTTCAATTGGATTCTGTGACTCACTCATTCCCTGTTGCTGATCAGAGTGTAATGAATCAGACTGAACTAGGATGGTGGATGGCGCCCAGGAGGTGTTCACAGAAGCAGGTGCTGCAATGCGCTCAACTGGACTCAATCAAAACGAACCTGAAACGCTGTAGTGCTTGGGTGATGGTAATTTCTAGGTGATGAATGTCACATGTAACTCAACCTGGGCGGGGACTTCCAATTTAGATCATTAGTTGGCTGCTGTTACCGATAAATTGAGTGAGCAACCTAAGATTGCACTACTTATTAAACAATACAATGAACGAATCAACTCATTTACAGAGATTGGCAAGAAAGAATAAACTACCGCTTCAAATCTTCTTTTCTGATTTTGTTTGTCATTTTTCTCATTATTCCTTTTTCAGAAATTAGTAATAAATTATGATGATTAATGAAATGGAAAAAGAAAAACAAAACTTGCCAGATCGATTGCAATCGGCTGTTTCGCATCCCCCCAAAAAATAACAGCTCTCAAAAGACCTCAGCAATTTAGTCGCCCAAGGCGCGGACACTCCCTCATAACCTCCTTTGTTAGATGATTAAGTGGCAAAGTTGAACGATAGCTAGATGGTGGGGGAGCGGCGGACTCGTTCAAGTGAGCTCTGCACTTTGAGGAGGGCGAGCTTGTCCTTGCCGATGCTGCTGCTCTTGATGTGGTCCGGCACGCTGTGGCGGTGCATCATCGTCACAAACTCGTTGTAGTCTATTCGGTCGTCCTGTTGGTGGGCAAACGTGCAAGCGCATGGGTAGACATGGTGGTGGGGTGAGAGAATGCAAACTCGTTGAAGTCTATGCAATGGTCGTACATGAGGCGCCCAGGGGCATGGGCGGTTAGGGTAGGGCAAGGCCGGGTGTAGGAGGGCATGGGAGGGCATGGAAAACAAACTAACTAACTAATCGTTCCATTATCCATACAACGGCATATCGTGTGAGACGGCTCACTGCGAGAAAGTTTGAAAAAAATACCGATGGTTGCATTAGGAAACATGCAGGTATACATAGTTGAGCTAGAATGGGAGGTATGGTTGGGAACCTTGCCAACATTATTGGCCCCCACCAATAAGTTGGGTTGAGGTGTTATTGGGGGGGCAATAATGTTGACCAAAGTGGGTCAACATTATTGGGGGGGCCAATAATCTCCCAACCCAACCTTAGGGGCCGAATAATAGGGCCAAGGTTGGGTTCCAACCTCAAACTAGGGTTAACTCTAGTTGTGCACCCAAACTAAGTTTGGGTGCCTATCTCTAACCAAAGCTTATAGGATAGATGTAGGTTACAATGAAGATAATAATCTGACACTCGCCTCCTGCATCATCTCCTCCACGTCTCCTCTGTCCTGCACCAAATGAATGTAGTTTGCTCGCATCCACTCACCTTGCTCGCATCCACCTCACCTTGCTCGCATCCACCTCACCTTGCTTGCATCCACCTCACCTTGCTCGCATCCACTCACCTTGTTTACTTCCACCTCCTGCATCCTCTCCTCCACATTCTCATCGTAGCTGTACTCATTACAGTGACATGAACTACTCACTATAGTGACATGACCTACTCGCCATAGTGCCATGCTGTAATAAGTGATGTACCTTGCTGACAAATCCACCTCACCTTGTTAACATCCACCTCACCTTGTTCACGTCCACCTCACCTTGTTAACATCCACCTCACCTTGTTCACGTCCACCTCACCTTGTTCACATCCACCTCACCTTGTTCACATCCACCTCACCTTGTTAACATCCACCTCACCTTGTCCACATCCACCTCACCTTGTTCACATCCACCTCACCTTGTTCACATCCACCTCACCTTGTTCACATCCACCTCACCTTGTTCACGTCCACCTCACCTTGTTCACATCCACCTCACCTTGTTCAAGTCCACCTCACCTTGTTCACATCCACCTCACCTTGTTCACATCCACCTCACCTTGTTCACATCCACCTCACCTTGTTCACATCCACCTCACCTTGTTCACATCCACCTCACCTTGTTCACATCCACCTCACCTTGTTCACATCCACCTCACCTTGTTCACATCCACCTCACCTTGTTCACATCCACCTCACCTTGTTCACATCCACCTCACCTTGTTCACATCCACCTCACCTTGTTCACATCCACCTCACCTTGTTCACATCCACCTCACCTTGTTCACATCCACCTCACCTTGTTCACATCCACCTCACCTTGTTCACATCCACCTCACCTTGTTCACGTCCAACTCACCTTGTTCACGTCCACCTCACCTTGTTCACGTCCACCTCACCTTGTTCACGTCCACCTCCTGCATCATCTCCTCCACGTTCTCCGGTCCGATGCCAAACTCCTCACACACCTGCCATGCACGCACACCCATGCACACTCATGGACAACCATGCACACAAATGCACACCCATGCACACCCATACACACATATGCACACACATGCACACACGTGCACACACATGCACACACATGCACACCCATGCACACCGAGAAGAGAAGATCTAAAAGGAGAAGGCTACTGGTGTCGCAACAGAGGGGCCATGTTCTCTCACGTTTTCCGGCCCGATGCCTAACTCCTCACACACCTGCCAACCTCCATCTTTGGGGCATGCAGACCAACATGCAGTTGCTGCAGCTGTACCTACCTGCAGTGAGAATGTCCCTCACAGATACAAGGAAAATGCCCCCTCACGCATCTCCCACCCAGGCATAAGGCATGGGAGCATGAGAACGCACGGCATAGAAGCATGGGCCCACACTGAAGTGCTGGAATGCCTGGTGCAGGTTCGCCTCCTTGATCACTCCCAAGGGGAAATAAGATGTACCCACCATTGAACGCACCTGAGTGAGCTCATCGCGTGTGATGAAGCCGCTGCCGTCCTTATCAAAGTACTGGAAGGCCTGGTGGAGGTTCTCCTCCTTGATCATGCGGTTCAGCCCCAACGTGGCGGCAAAGAACTCGTTCATGCAGATGCTCTCACTGTCGTTCACGTCCATCTGCCGTGTGTGTGGGGGGGGAAGAAGCGGGAGAGGGGGGTTGTGTGGGGGAGGGAGGCGGGGGGGGGGGGGGGGGGGGGGGGGGGGGGGGGGGGTTTGGGAGGAGGGGTGTAGGAAGCAGAGCAGAGGGAGGGAGATTGAGCATGGCCCAGCGTGGCCACAAAGAAGTCGTTCATGTCGATGCTCTCACTGTCGTTCACATCCATCTGAGGAGGGGTGTGGGGGAGGAGGGGGGGAAAAGGGGCAGGAGCGGGAGCAGATGAAGAGGGAGTGAGGGCTGGAAAGAAAAGGTCCAGTGTGGCAGCAAAGACCTTGTTCACGTCGATGCTCTCACTGCCATTGACGTCCATCTGAGATGGCGTGGATGTGGGGGATGGGCGATAGGGGGAAGGGAGAAAAAAGAGGAGCGGGAGAGCAGATGAAGAGGGAGAGAGTGGAAGCACATGTAGAGAGGGAGTGGAAGAGAGAGAGTAGAGAGAGAGAAGAGAGAGGGGCATACAAGCAGCAAATTAAGAAACCCACCAGGCAAGCACCCAGTGAAGGCAGCTGACATCACAGTGGAGCATGCAACGCAACGCAAGCCAGCCAGCCAGCCGACCGACTCACAGCGGAGTAGAGCTGTCTCAGCTCGTCCTCATATCCTCTCACCCATCTTTCTGTCGCCCTCGTCTCAAAGTAGCACAAGCAGGGACACGCAAAAGGGGGCATGCAGGGAGAGGAGCAAGGCAGGCGAGCAGCAAGGCAGGCGAGCAGCAAGGCAGGCGAGCAGCAAGGCAGGCGAGCAGCAAGGCAGGCGAGCAGCAAGGCAGGCGAGCAGCAAGGCAGGCGAGCAGCAAGGCAGGCGAGCAGCAAGGCAGGCGAGCAGCAAGGCAGGCGAGCAGCAAGGCAGGCGAGCAGCAAGGCAGGCGAGCAGCAAGGCAGGCGAGCAGCAAGGCAGGCGAGCAGCAAGGCAGGCGAGCAGCAAGGCAGGCGAGCAGCAAGGCAGGCGAGCAGCAAGGCAGGCGAGCAGCAAGGCAGGCGAGCAGCAAGGCAGGCGAGCAGCAAGGCAGGCGAGCAGCAAGGCAGGCGAGCAGCAAGGCAGGCGAGCAGCAAGGCAGGCGAGCAGCAAGGCAGGCGAGCAGCAAGGCAGGCGAGCAGCAAGGCAGGCGAGCAGCAAGGCAGGCGAGCAGCAAGGCAGGCGAGCAGCAAGGCAGGCGAGCAGCAAGGCAGGCGAGCAGCAAGGCAGGCGAGCAGCAAGGCAGGCGAGCAGCAAGGCAGGCGAGCAGCAAGGCAGGCGAGCAGCAAGGCAGGCGAGCAGCAAGGCAGGCGAGCAGCAAGGCAGGCGAGCAGCAAGGCAGGCGAGCAGCAAGGCAGGCGAGCAGCAAGGCAGGCGAGCAGCAAGGCAGTCAGCAGCAAGGCAGGCGAGCAGCAAGGCAGGCGAGCAGCAAGGCAGGCGAGCAGCAAGGCAGGCGAGCAGCAAGGCAGGCGAGCAGCAAGGCAGGCGAGCAGCAAGGCAGGCGAGCAGCAAGGCAGGCGAGCAGCAAGGCAGGCGAGCAGCAAGGCAGGCGACTGACAGCGGAGTAGAGCTGGCGCAGCTCCCCTTCGTTCATCCGGGCGCCCATCTTCTGCAGCCCGCGGCGCATCTCATCGAGGGACAGCGAACCGCTCTGGTCCATGTCGAGCTGGTTGAAGATCTCCCTCATGCCCAGGATCTCCTCCTCCGTCAACTGCTGCGCCACCACCTGGCGGCCGAGGGAGGTGGGGTGGAGTGGAGTAGGGTATGATGGGGTAGGGTATGGTATGAAGAGGTCTGCATGCTGAGCAGCCACCCGCATTGCATGCCCAGAATCCCGGAGCTTGTGGATACGTGTCATAGCAGCGTATCGCATGAGGCGCGGCGCGAGCAGGCTGTTTGGTCCAGCCATGGGCATGTGATGCGTGTGGCGCCCCAACGCAACACAAGCTCGCCTAGGGATGGGCATTTGGCCCGGACGGGTCAGGAATGCTGAGAATGTCGACCCGTCCGGGTCGGGTCGGGTTTACCCGGGCGGGTCGGGTCGACCCGTGACCCGTCAATGTGACTTATAGACGGGTATCAGCGACCCGCCGGGTCGGGTTGACCCGTCCCGTCCGGGTCGCATACCCAGTCAAATGACAGGGTTACCCGACCCGTTCTCTGCTTAGGGTACAATTTGGAGAGGGGGAGAACATCAGTTGGTTTTGATGTTTTGTTTCCCTCGACATTCAGATCCAGTCTCTAATCAAGTTAGTAAATCTCCACTGCACCTACCAAAACTCTTACAGTCTTCACTTCAATGTTAGCACTATTTTAATATTTATATTCATTATAGGCATAGGCGCTCCTGCCATTACGCAGTGTCGCACGACCAGGGGCGCAGCAGCGCACTCGCGGCCACGCATTGGCAGGATCGTGTCCCCGCAATAGCGCGATCTCGGCCCCGCATTTGCGCAGCGCGATCGCGGCCCCGCATATGCGCGATCGCGGCACCACATTAGGGCAGCGCGATCGCGGCCACGCATTGGCGGGATCGCATCCCCGCAATAGCGCGATAGCGGCCTTGCAGTAGCGCGAACGCCACCAGCCAGAATCGCGGTTTCCACCTCCAGCATCGCGAACGCCACCTGGAGCAGCGCCAAGGCGCCACCATACCCTGCTGCTATGTAGCATGTTTTGATCCGACCCGACCCGACCCGTGGTGTAACCGACCCGGTTACGGGTCACAAATACCCGTTCCAACGGGGCAGGTCGGGTCACCAAAACAGAGTCAAACCCGACCCGCTAACCCGACCCGACCCGACCCGTTAAGCTAACGGGTCGCCCTAAACGGGACGGGTCGGGCCGGGTCGGGCCAGATGCCCATGCCTAAGCTCGCCCCAGAGGAGGGAAGCACCCAGAAGCACCCCCCCTCCATGTGATGGCACGCACCCCCCCTCCATGTGATGGCACGCACCCCCCCTCCATGTGATGGCACGCACCTGCGAGGCGAGCTTGCGGATGTGCGTCATGGCGGCGTATCGCTTGAGGCGGGAGAACACTGTGGGGTCCAGCGGTGTGTCTGGTGCCACCCCCGCCTCACTCACCCACGGATGCTCTGCCTCACGCAAGTATTATGGGTGCAGGAGGGTAGGAGGGTGGGGGGTAAGCGGGTATGTGGGAAGGGAGGCGCGACTGTGGGGTCCAGTGGTGTGTCTGGTCTGGTGCCACCCCTGCTTCGCTCACCCACGGGTGCTCTGCCCTCCCCCCAGTGCCGTGGGAAGAGGGGGTTCGGGGGGTAAAGGGGGTAGGGGGGTTAGGTTAGTATGGGGCGAGGGGAATGGGAAATCAGGGAGGGCTGTGGGGTCCAAGGGCGTGCTTGGGGCCCGCCCCCATCGCTCACCCACGGGCGATCTGCTTTGCACCAGTGCCGTGGGGGGAGAGAATAGGGAGAGAGGGAGGGAGGGAGGGAGGGAGGGAGGTTTGGTCGGTTGTTACCCACCTGGTACTCGCATCGTCGTCGTGACCCTAGTGGCCGGATAGTGAGGCACAATGCGCTAGTGGCCAGATAGCGAGGCACCATGCGCGGCGCCACCGCCTTGGAACTGGGCCTATGCCAGGCAGGCAGGCGTATGGTGCTCTCACTCACACAGCCATGAGCCGAGGCAGCCACGAGGCATTGAACCCACCCACCTAGCACTTGCTTGGCTGTAAGTCGCGTCTCGGGGTTGCGGTCCAGCATGCCCTGCACCACCTCCTTGGCCTGCTGCGAGATCAACGGCCACGGATCGCTGTCGTAGTCGATCTCGTCGTACATGATGGCGCAGAACAGCTCGTCCATGGTAGGTAGGTCTGAGAGGGGTGAGGGGAGGAGGGGGGAGGGGTTCAGGGAGAGGACGACGGAGCAAGGGGGGGAGGGAAAGGGGGCATGGCTCTCGAAGTTGCTCGTACAAGATGGCACACAACAGCTCGTCCAGGGCTGGCGGGTCTGTGGGAGGTGAGGAGAGGGAAGGGGGATGAAAGGAATGGCGGGTGGGGTGGGGTGGGGGCATTGCTGTTGTAGTCGTTCTCATGGTACGTGATGGCAGATCGCACAACAGCAAGTCATGTACGACGAGAGCTCGCCGTACATGATGGCAAAAAACCTCTTCCATCGTGGGTAGGGCTGTGGTGAGTGGGAATGGGGTTGAGAGGAAGGAGCAGAGGGAGTGGGAGAAAGGGGATGGGGAAGGGGATGGGGAAGGGGATGGGGAAGGGGATGGGGAAGGGGATGGGGAAGGGGATGGGGAAGGGGATGGGGAAGGGGATGGGGAAGGGGATGGGAAGGGGATGGGGAAGGGGATGGGAAGGGGATGGGAAGGGGATGGGGAAGGGGATGGGAAGGGGATGGAAAGGGGATGGGGAAGGGGATGGGAAGGGGATGGGAAGGGGATGGGAAGGTTTGTGAGGGGCAGAGGGGGTGACCTGCTGCTTGTGATGTGGTGGTGGGCAGTGTGCATCAGGAGGGTGAGGATGAAAAATGCAGGTTGCTTAGGGTAGCCCGTCATCCACTGTCCCATACCTCTCTCTCCTTGCCCATGCTCTCTCATCCCCATGCTCTCTCATCCCCATGCTCTCTCATAACATGTGCCCCTTAAACTGGCAGGTGCAGAAAAGAATCTGCTCAGCTGAAGAAAAAATAGAGTAAGAAGCATATGCATACCTGTGAGAAGAGGGCAGCATGCATCTACAGGCAAGAGGCGTACCTGGAAGCTTTTATATTCACTCAAACTCACCTGTGGGGACGGGACATACCTGTGGGGAAGGGGCACACACGTGGGGAAGGGGCACACCCATGGGGAAGGGGCACACCCGTGGGGGAAGGGGCACACCCATGGGGAAGGGGCACACCCGTGGGGGAAGGGGCAGTAGGCCTACCCGTGGGGAAGGGGCAGTAGGCCTACCCGTGGGGAAGGGGCAGTAGCCGCAGAGCAGCATGTAGAGAATGACCCCTGCGCTCCACACGTCCACCTCCGGCCCGTAGTGGCACCCGTTGGTTCGCACCATCTCCGGGGCTAAATACAGTGGACTGCCCGCCAGCCCTGCTGATATGGGCTCGCCTGGTGGTGAGGGAACGGGGGGAACGATGGAGGAGAAGGGCCTGAGGGGGAGCGCGTCATACATGACCACACGTCCACCTCCGGCCCGTAGTGGCACCCGTTGGTTCGCACCATCTCCGGGGCTAAATACAGTGGACTGCCCGCCAGCCCTGCTGATATGGGCTCGCCTGGTGGTGAGGGAACGGGGGGAACGATGGAGGAGAAGGGCCTGAGAGGAGCGCGTCATACATGACCACACGTCCACCTCCGGCCCGTAGTGGCACCCGTTGGTTCGCACCATCTCCGGGGCTAAATACAGTGGACTGCCCGCCAGCCCTGCTGATATGGGCTCGCCTGGTGGTGAGGGAACGGGGGGAACGATGGAGGAGAAGGGCCTGAGGGGGAGCGCGTCATACATGACCACACGTCCACCTCCGGCCCGTAGTGGCACCCGTTGGTTCGCACCATCTCCGGGGCTAGATACAGCGGACTGCCCGCTAGCCCTGCTGATATGGGCTCGCCTGGCAAAAGATGGAAGATTCCGGGCTAGAGGGCGAGACGGGAGAGTGAGAGGAGGGACGGGAGACAAGGGAAGGGGATGAAGGAGCATGCTACAAGTATCACCCCTCTTCTTCCCTGTAGACTATGGTAGGGTAGGGTACCACCTCTGGCACACGATGCAGTGGGTTGCTTCTCAGGCTTGCTTGGCCTCTCACACACTCGCACATTCGGGTCCCAAGGGGCGCAATCTAGGAGTGGGGGGGAAGGTGGTGAGGCATGTTACCAGGTGTGAAGAAGAGTGATGGGCAAATGTTAATGGCCTTGAGGGGCGCAGCGTAGCGAGGGGGGGGTGGGGCCCTCACTTGAGAAATAAATGAGCAACTCGTGACTGCCAGCCAGCCAGCCACTGCTTTGGTTTGACAAAGAGGGCGCTGAACATCTCGGCACTAAGGTAAGGCCAAACCAAAGGGGCGTTGCGTTTTCGACGTACCTGGGGTGAAGAAGAGCGAGAGGCCAAAGTCGATGGCCTTGAGCGGAGCGTCGTCGCTGCGGTTGGCGAAGAGGAAGTTCTCGGGCTTGAGGTCGCGGTGCACCACGTTCATGGTGTGGCAGTAGTGCACCACCGACACTATCGTGCTCACCAGTCGCGCCGCGTCGCATTCACTGCAAGGGGGATTTGCAGGCAGGGAGGAAGAGAGGAAGGGAAGGGAAGGGAAGGGGGTTCTCGGGCTTGAGGCCGCGGTGCACCACGTTCATGGTGCACCGTGATGGAACTGTGCCATGGGGGGAGCCGTGCAGCGTCGCACTCGCTGCAAGGAGGTGAGACGAGGAGAGGGAAAGGAAGAAATTTGTCGGGCTTGAGATCACGCCCCCACGGCACAGTTCCCCCCATGGCACAGTTCCCCCCATGGCACAGTTCCCCCCATGGCACAGTTCCACCACGGCCGTGATGCTTCAAGTTACCATACCAACCCCTTCCAACCCATCTGCACCGTTCTTCTACCAGCCCACTAACCCAGAACCCACCTGTAGTGCCCCTTGGCGATGATTCTGTCGTACAGCTCCCCGCCATGGCAGAGCTCCATGACAATGGCAACGCTCTTGGAGTCCTCAAACGCCGCCGCCACCTGCACGACGTGGGGGTGGCCCGCCAGGTGGTACAGAATGCCCACCTCGCGCTTCACCTCCGCCAGCAGCGTGCCCAGCATGAGCAGGCGCGTCTTGCTCATCTGCTTCACCGCAAACTCCTTTCCTGTCGCCCGCTGCCGGCACCGGTACGTCGACCCGAAGTGCCCCTCTCCCAGCTTCTCCCCCAGCTCGTACTCCTCTGTCAGGCAGCCTGGGACGAGGGGGGAAGGAAGGAGGGGGGGGGAGCTATTGGGCTCGCCCAGCCTCTACCCTAACTCGTATCCTCTCCTCTGAAAGACAGCTGGGAAAGACTGGGAAAGGGGGGACGGGGGGGGGAACGGGGGGGAGAACGGGGGGGGGGGGGAGGGGGGGGGGGGGAGTGGGAGAGGTGGGGGGAGAGGGAGAGATTTGGGGCGGAACAGGAGGGGTATAACGGGAGAGGAGGGTGGGAGCATGAGCAGGCGCGAATTGCTCATCTGCTTCACCGCACACTCCCTCCCCACGAGGTGGTAGAGAATCCAAATCTCGAGCTTCACCTCTCCGAGGGGTGTGCCTCAACTCACCAGTGTTGAAGCTGAGAAGGTTCTGTTGCCCCGTGTGCTGCTGCCCAGTGTGCCGCATGCTCTTGGGCAATCGCCTGGGCCCTTGGCAGCATGGCCCGCCCAGCAGCAGCAGCAGCAGCAGCAGCAGCAGCAGCAGCAGCAGCAGCAGCAGCAGCAGCAGCAGCAGCAGCAGCAGCAGCAGCAGCAGCAGCAGCAGCAGCAGCAGAAGCAGCAGAAGCAGCAGCAGCAGCAGCAGCAGCAGCAGCAGCAGCAGCAGCAGCAGCAGCAGCAGCAGCAGCAGCAGCAGCAGCAGCAGCAGCAGCAGCAGCAGCAGCAGCAGCAGCAGCAGCAGCAGCAGCAGCAGCAGCAGAAGCAGCAGAAGCAGCAGCAGCAGCAGCAGCAGCAGCAGCAGCAGCAGCAGCAGCAGCAGCAGCAGCAGCAGCAGCAGCAGCAGCAGCAGCAGCAGCAGCAGCAGCAGCAGCAGCAGCAGCAGCAGCAGCAGCAGCGTCATCATCACCAGCAGCCCCACCAACAGCTCACTCACCGGTGTTGAAGCTGAGAATGGGCTGCCTGCCCTGCATGCGGCATGCTGACTGACCAGTGGTCACCAGTGTTTAAGCTGAGAGCAAGACAGTGAGATGCTGCTCTCATTGCAGCAGAGCAGCGACACACAGACAGACAGCACACAGCTCACTCACCGGTGTTGAAGCTGAGAATGGGCTGGCCGGCGTGCGGCATGCTCTTGGCGATGGGCCGCCCCCCTCGCACCAGCACAGCCTGCCCACCACTGCCGTCGTCATCGTCATCCCCATTGCGCCGGTCAGTTGACTCCCGTGCCGACCCGCCCACCGTGTTCGCCAGGTCCCGCCACCCTGCACAGGGAAGAGGGGGAGGGGGACGGGAGGGGAGGTGACGGGGGAAAGGGGGAGAGTGGCGGGAACAAGAGGGGGGTGGGCGGGAGAGAGAGGGGGGTGGGCGGGAGAGAGAGGGGGGTGGGCGGGGGAGACAAGGGGAGGGAGTCTGCATGGGTTTCACAGTCGTACCGCACTGCCGCCCCGCCCATCGTGCTCTCTCGATTCCGCCACCCTGCACGCACGGGCGCGGATAGGCGGACATGGGAAGCGGAAAGAAGGAGAGGAGGGGATGAGGGGAGAGAGAGGGGGGGAAGCGGACGGGGTTTGGGGTTGGTCAGTTTGTGGGAGGGGAAGTGGGGGATGAGGGGGTGGAAATGATGAGGGGGAGAAATGTGCGGGCGGACGCTATGGCGCGGGTGGGCGTGCTGGTGGCGCGACGAGCGGCCGAGCACGCGATGGCACTACAAAGCACAGCGGGAGATGTCAGGGGCCCAGCATGCGATAGCAGCAGTTCAACCACAGCGGGCGATGGTTTCGCGGAGGGCGGCATTGAGGGGAGAATGAGCTTTTTAGGCGCCTCAGGAATCAGTGTGTGAGAAATTATTAATGAGAATTCTCAATAGTGATTTCGAAGGGCGGCGTTGCGGCAAGAGAGGACCTTTTATGCGTGTCAGAAATGGGTGTGTGAGCTTCGCATGGATCAGCTTTGACATCATCGCTCGCCTCCTTGCGCTCAGCGTCTATCGGCGAATACCTTCTCGTGACATTGCTTGATCGCGTTACTGTCAGACCCGCTTGTCACCTCTCCAGAGACCCGTGCGGCTGTTTGGCTTTGTCGGGCGAGCACGGATGGTAGTACTAACGAGGAGGGTGGCACTAACGAGGAGGGTAGTACTAGCGAGGAGGACGAGGTAGCGACGATGGCGGTTGTTCCGCGGGAAGAACGACGGCGGGCCTTTCTAACTGCAGGCGATGTGCTAAGCGTGAAACAGTTCCTGGAGATATTAGATTGACCTGTTGAAGCTATTGATTGTCACAACTACTGTAAAAAATAGGGCTAGTAATAAATAACAGCTATTGCGGTAACAGGCGTTGTCGAGACTATCGATTGTCAGGGTTAACGGTCAGCGGAAGCGCTGCATTGTGGGTCGACATGCGATGACCAGCTTAGTAAGCTTTAAAAAATGCGTTGTAAACGCCAAGCACAAGGCAGGTGTTACGGCCCGTGCATCCGCCAGAGGCACTTAATTTTTCCTTACTCGTGCACTGTATCGAAAGAGCTACCTCTAGCACATAATACCACGTACTACGCGTCCTAAGAATGATAACAAGCCATTACCATTATGAGGGGAGGAAGGAGAGGTTTGGTTTCGACCAGGGCCTATCCAAGGTACTGGAACGTGGTTCGTGGACACGGGAAAGTCGTTTAGGGAACACGAGCCTCCAAGGTAGGTGGCTTGAGCAACGGCTCGGATTGGAAATTCCCGAAGATTCGCAACAAACTTTGCTACGACGTGCGATATCAAAAGTGGTGGTGCGAGAATTGCCCGCGGCGCACCATTGACCCTGGTTTCTCCGCCCATGAATAGAAAGTAAATACGGCCATTTTCAGGAGCATGCAAGTTATCTAAGGCGCGCCAATCAGGTGCATGCTATTCCGTCGTTTTGCTCCCTCGGTTGCCACTGTTTGTACACATCCGCCACTAAAAACACTAGTCTATCAGGGGATGCAGCCCGCGCAACACAAGCAGCACACGCAACACACGCAACACACAAAATCGGCCTGGCAGGGAAGCCCGAAAAGGAAAAATACAACTCCTAGAAAACCTGGACATTGTTCGGGAGGGATCAACCCTAAACACGGGAACGTCCTGGTGTTTAGGGTTGATGTCCCTTAAGGCAGTGGGACAAAAAATCTAGGGAACCTGGACTCATTTTTTGGAAGGGATCAACCCTAAACACGGGAAGTGCCCTCGTGTTTAGGGTTGATTCCTCCCGAGTCGCATGAGTTTCCAATTGGGTTTTATATTTTTTACCTTGTTTTTGTCAGGTGTGTTGCGATATGTATTGACCTTGCTCGCAGTAATTTTTCGTGCGACTGTTGTGGTTGGACGACGAACTCATGCGAGAGCTGCGCCAGTTACTGTCAGTCAGATTGTAGCATCCCCTGACAGAACAGTAATTTTCGTGGCGGAAGTGTACATACAGTAAAGACAGAGGCAGAAAAACGACGGGATAGCATGCACCTGAATAGCGCGCCTCAACTGAGTTGCATGCATCTAAAAATGGCCGAAGTAATTACAAACCCTGGATTCCCCAGAAACAGTCACTTCTCTGTTCAACGCCGTTCCATTGTGTTTTTTTTACTGTTGAAAGGGAGGATCCACTTTGTTACGTTACGTGTGCGACATCGCAAGGTAATGTGTGCAAGGCAAGGAGATGCTACGGAAGTGGTAACCAAAAAATAGTCCGTACCGTAAATGCTACTGGAAATGAAAAATGGTTACCAGCTCAATAGACCCATCGCGCAGCTGATCGAACGGGCACTTGTAACGAGTCCTAAACAAATCGACCCGCCCTGATCGTGCCACGCCAAGTTCCTTTCATGGTAGTCTCGAGGAACGGTGCATGAATCCTGACTTGCTTGCTCTCTCGATTCTCCTGCCTTCCTGACTGCTGAGCTGACCAAGTGAACACCAGGCCTCGAGTGCCTCCTAAAGTTAGAATCCCAACCACGGACATCGAATTTGTGAAGCTCGTGTGGGTCGATTGTGGAGCCGTTCTACATATCCGACGCCCTTGCAATAAGCTGTTACCCGTTAGACTAGCACGCTTTTCCGTGAGAGTCACGCAACCAAGCTTCGCTCACCACAGCGCAGTCGTCCTCGTGTCATGACCGCGGCGCTCGCTGCCGCCGCCAAGGCAGCGATTCGACCGCGCGCACCGCGGCGGCAGGTGATTCAGCTTACGGACGCGGCGGCCGATCGGATTCGCGAGCTGCTGACGAGGCGCAACAAGGAGTACCTCAAGCTGGGCGTCAAGTCGCGCGGCTGCAGCGGCATGAGCTACACCCTCTCCTACGCCGGTACGCGCCGCGCGCTCGCGCACTCAAGGACATGGCTTATTGTCGGATTTAGGGGAAGCGCGTTAGGGTTCACTTGCGGTGTCGTGCCTTTAGCTTAGTAGAGCAATTGAAGACGCTCGTATGCTCCTCTCTGTACGTCGTTCCGTTCGTGCCTCTGATGACGCTTAAAAGCACACACCAGATCGCCATTCCGTTTCAGAGGCCAGTCCGCTCGTCATGCCTCAATCTCCCATTCTCCGTCTCCCATGGTCGGCTTCACTCGCTTTCTGCCCGTTGCCGTGTGTGTCTGCGCGGCGGTGAGCAGACGAGCCGGGGAGGTTCGACGAGGTGGTGGAGGAGAAGGGCGTGCGAGTGGTGGTGGAGCCCAAGGCGCTCATGGCTGTCATCGGCACCACCGTTGATTTTGTGCAAGACCGCCTCAAGTCCGTTACAGCCAGCCCCAGCCCATGCCGCTGCTTGCACCCGTCTCTTCCCCCTTACGCACCCCTCCCTTCTCTCTCCCCCCTCCGAATTTCTCTGCCTCCTCTTTCGTCTCCTCCTCTTCTCCCCTTCCCCACCCTCCCCCGCCTCCCGTCCCCACGTTTCTTTTCTCCCTTCCCTCCGCTTCCCCTTCCCATCTCACCTCGTTTGTTCGCGTGCAGCTCTCGTCATCGTTCGTCACATTTCTCCCCTGCTGCCCCACGCCCTCCCTTAGCTTCCACCTGCTGCTGTGATTTCCGAGATCATTCATTTACTCGTTGCCCCGAGCCCTTTCCTTACCTTGTACCGACCATTGCGGACTGAAATGCACGAGGTGGGCGGGTGGCCACGCAGGTCGGAGTTTGTGTTTGTGAACCCCAACTCTAAAGGGGAGTGCGGGTGCGGCGAGTCCTTCATGACGTGACACCACCGACGCTGCCTCTCAGGGGCGCGGAGTGACGCCCTCAGGTCAGTCACCTGCAGAGAGGGGTGGAAGAAGGGGGGAAGGGGGAGAGGGGGGGGGAGGGGAGAGGGGTGGGGGTTGACATGTGGGACCCCAGGGGGACTGAAGCGAGTTTGATTTTTGAGAATTCTAAAAAAAACAGCTTCAGCATACAATTCCCCAGGGGGGCTGCAGCGAGTTTCCCATGGCATGCCACCACCGCTGCTTCTCAGGCGCGCGCAGTTAGGCCTCTGAGGTCAGTCACATGTGCATGAGTATGCACAGGGGGAGGTGCGTGGGACATGTGAGGTGCAGGGGGGCTGTGGAGAGTCAGGTGCGGCAAGTCTTGGCAGGGCTGATTGTGGATTCGTGTTCCAGGGTGGGATGGGAGGGGTGCTGGGTGTGGTGTGGGGGGGTGGATGAGAGGGGTGCGACTGTCAGTATGGCATGAAGAGTTCTGATAGTTCTCAGTTGCCTGCGATTGCCGTGGTTGGTAGGGTGTACCTCCACACCACACTGAGTCAAGCATGTGTTGAGCCCACAAGTGCTTGTCGCTTGCTTATGCGTGAGTTGACTCATCAGGCGTTCCTCACACCATCCATGTGCCTGCGATCCCTTCCCTTGTGACTACAGCAGGCATTGCAGGATCAACTTGTACAGGGGTGGGGTGCAGGGAGTGCATTGATTGAGCAGTGCTCATTGGCAACGCATAAGCAAGGCACAGCGGAGCGGTGCTGGGCTGCAATGCTCAGTACAGTCCATGCTGGAGCTGCTTGCACAGCCACACGAAGAATATCCATTATTGAGTAGCCTCAGCAGTTTGAAGCTGGTGGTACGGCCGCAGGCTTGTGAATGGCTACCTATCATCACTACTCGCCTGAGTATTTTATGCTCTCTTTGTACAATAGAATCTTTACTTCCATGAACCCTGTTCACCCAATCTATGCATTTCGTTTCAGTAGAGTTTGTTTGTCCAGTGTGTACACCAAACAGTGCAAGAAATATTATTGCATGCTATTTATCGATGTTGTCCACACGTCACGGAATTCTCGAGGCTCGAATTCTACTCCTCTCCTCGCATTTACCCACACGTTCACTCACACATTCGCACACCACACTCAGTCACACACTCACTTCCACACTCGCGCAATAATCACTATCGCACTCTCCCTCGAACCCACCGTTGCACTCACTCACGCACCCACGCACTCACCCTCTAACTCACCTTTGCAGGCTGCCACACACTTCTCTCGGCCAATTTCTCACCTTCACATTAAACCACACACTCATCCACGCACTCATAACCACACTCATGCTCGCATTCATCCAAGCACTCACCCTCGCATTCACTCAAACGCTCACCTTCTTACTCACCTATGCACTCGCCGAGGACGGCATTGTATATGGCACCAGGTATTTGTAACGTGAGAACGTACAACATGCTGAGGATGCAGAGCCAAGACAGGTTCGTGTTCCTCATTTGGATTCGTTGGAGCGCCCCGCAAGCCACTTAACAACTTCAGCAGCTTCGTCAACATCCGTTCGTGAGTCTGTAGTGAAAGAACAAGGAATGATTGCATTGAGCAGCATGAGGAGTACAAGTAGGAAACCCTAAAGTGTTGTACCCCATATGAGCTACCCCACTACTGCCTACACAGACTATAGCATATAAGTTTGACACACCCCTGTCAGAACATATACCGGTAGCTTGTGCTTATTGTGTAGGCCATAGTGGGGTAGCCCATAAGGGGTACAACCCAATTAGGGTTAGTACTTGTACTCAGTTCATTCATAGTTCAATCATTCTCGTTTCAGTTTTCTCATGGTATCGAGCAGGTTCCCTAGTGGGAACTGTGCCTAGGGCCCACCAAGTCAAAACTTTTTTTTTCTGCCCGGAGCGCGCTCAGCCCGAGTCGCACTCCTCTCTCTCATCTCGTCGAGCCGCCCTAGCGACTGCGTCGCGCCGCCCTAGCGGCCCCGTCGCCCTAGCGGCCCCGTCGCCCTGGCGGCCCCATCGCCCTAGCGGCCCCGTCGCCTAGCCCTACGGCCCCGTCGCCTAGCCCTACGGCCCAGGCGCCGCCCTGTCCCGGCCCCGCCGCCCTTCGCTGCGGCCCCCCCCCGCCGCACTTCACTGCGGCCCCGCCGCCCTTCACTGCGGCCCTGCCACCCTTCGCTGCGGCCCCGCTGCCCTTCGCCGCGGCCCCGCCGCCCTTCGCTGCGGCCCCGCCGCCCTTCACTGCGGCCCCGCCGTCCTTCGATACGGCCCCGCCGCCCTTCGCTCCAGCCCCGCCGCCCTTCGCTGCGGCCCCGCCGCCCTTCTCTGCGGCCCCGCCGCCCTTCTCTGTGGCCCCGCCGCCTCTCTCGCTACGACCCCGCCGCCTACCTTGCGGCCCCGCCGCCCCTCGCTTCGGCCCCGCCGCCCCTCCCGCTGCGGCCCCGCCACCTACCTCGCGGCCCCGCCGCCCTCCCAGCGGCCCTGCCGCCCTACGTCACCGAGCCACCCGAGCCGCCCAAGCCGCCCGAGCCGCCCGAGACGCCCGAGCCGCCCGAGCCGCCCGAGCCGCCCGAGCCGCCCGAGCCGCCCGAGCCGCCTGAGCCGCTGAGGAGCCGAGCCGCTGGTGCCGTAGAGCCGCAGTTGCTACTGAGCCGTCCGAGTCGCCCGAGCCGCCGTGTTGCCGAGCTGCTGTGCTGCTGAGCTGCCCGAACCGCCCTGTCTGATGAGAGCAGCGCTTCTGTCACTGCACTGCCCCTGTCCTACAGTTAGTGCTGCTAGTCTACTCCTGTCATGGCTACCCCCAGTGCTCTCGCTTTTGACGCTGAGGGTCGGGCCATTGACTTTGAGGTCTGGGTAGATGACCTGCAGCTTTTCCTACAGTGCGATAGGGCAGACAGTCTCTCCCTCTTTGACCTCACCTCTGGCGCCTCCCCTGCCCCTGCTGCTGACGCTGACGCCACTGTTCGCTCCCAGTGGGCCACGCGCGATGCTGCTGCACGTCTTGCTGTGCGTCGCCACCTGCCTACCTCCGAGCGCACGCACTTTAGTCAGTACAAGAGTGCTCAGACCTTGTACGACGCTGTAGTTGCGCGCTACTCCTCCCCTACCACTGCTGCTCTGAGCCGTCTCATGCTACCGTACCTCTTCCCTGACCTTGCTGCCTTTCCCACAGTCGCTGACCTCATTACGCACCTCCGCACTAGTGACACTCGCTACCGTGCTGCGCTTCCTGCTCACTTCTGCGCCAAGAACCCCCCCCCCATGTACATCACTCTCTACTACATAGTCACTCGCCTCCCTGACTCCCTTCGCATAGTCAGGGACCACTTCCTCATCTTTGAGGGGTGTTCCCCCTCCCCCCTACTGCCCTCTGTTGCCTCTGCTGCTGCGGCCGACCTCCTTGGTCTTGAGTCGGTCGGTGCGGCGTCTGCCCCTAGCGGGAGACGCCGCTCTGGCAAGGGCAAGGGGGGCAGGGGCACTGGAGGGGCGAGCGGGGGCGGTGGAGGTGGAGGTGGAGGCGGCGGGGGGAGTGGGGGTGGCGGTGGAAGTGGTGGTGGGGGTGGAGGTGTCGGTGGCGGCAGTGGAGGCGGAGGCGGCGGCGGCAGTGGCGATGGGAGCGGAGGTGGCGGAGGTGGCGGCGGTGGAGGAGGCGGCGGAGGCGGCGGTAGTGGCGGAGGCGGCGGAGGCGGCGGGGGTGGCGGTGGAGCTGGTCGCGGGTCTACGCAGAGGAGTGGCTCCGGTGGTGGTCCGCGCCAGCAGCAGCAGCGCGGTCGTGAGACCCTGTCCCCTCAGCAGCTCCGTGAGTGGTACACTGCACGCCAGCGGGGTGGGGTTTTTGGTCCGTGCACCTACGTCCTGCGCACCGGCGACCGTGCGGGTGAGCAGTGTGGGGGTGCACACCCGACCCAGCGCTGCTTTGGCCGCCTGACGGACGCGTGGCGTCACCAGTTCCCGGAGGCCTCCGAGATCCCTCGCTGGGGCGAGCTGTCTAGGGCAGGTGTTGCCATCTATGATCTTGATTTTGATGCTATTTTTTCTGCCATGTATGCTGTGTCTATTAGTGATGAGGGTGATTGTTACCGGTGTTTCCCGCCCGATCCGGGCATTGAGACTGCTGCTCTAGGTACTGGTGAGGCGGCTGCCCTAGGTGCTTGCGACGCTGCTGCTCTAGGTGCTAGTGCGTCTGCGTCCTCAGGTACTGGTGAGTCTGCGCTCTCAGGTACTACGTCGGCTTCGGCCTCCCTCACCTTCACCCTTGACTCTAGGGCTTCTCGCTCCTTCTTTCGAGACCGCACCACACTCACGCCGCTTAGCCGGCCGGTTGCGGTGTCTCTGGCTGACCCCTCTGGGGGTCCTGTCCTGTCTCACTTCTCCACGGTCCTCCCGTGTCCGGCGGCTCCCTCTGGCACCCTGTCTGGTCTCTACCTCCCCTCGTTCTCTACGAACCTCGTGAGTGGTGCTGACCTACGGGATGGGGGAGTACACCAGTTCACTCCTGCGCGTCAGCGGGTGACCCACTGCACAGAGGCTAGCACAGGCCGACACCTGGCTAGGTTTACCTGTCAGCCGGGGTCGAGCCTGTACACATTGACCACTACGTCTCCTCCAGTTGTTGAGTCTGGTAGGGTCACTGCGTCGGGTGAGGTGTTGGCTGCAGCGTCCAGGTCTGGTCCTGAGTCTGCCCCCTGTTCGTGTCGTCTCCTGTCTCACGAGACTCTCCTCTGGCACCACCGCCTTGGTCACCCCTCTCTGCTTTGGCTCAGAGGCATGGCCTCCCATCTTCTTGTTTCTGGTCTCCCTCGTTCTCCTCCAGTCCT